TACAGGAGCAGGTCCTCGTCGCACAAAAGAAGGACTCCAGGGGATCCAGAGTGGCTCTGCAGGTTTCATTTCCGGTGGAGGAAGAACGCGAGAAGGTGCGAGGAACCTTGTGCCTGGCGTAAAGACAGACAGCGGCGCGGGAAACTAGAACCAGTATATCCGCAGGCGGTGGACGGATGTACTGAGGGACAGGTATCTAGTAATCACCGTTTGTTAGTTAGGGATAGTTTATCTAAGTTTACTTTCCTGATAGACACAGGAGCTAATATTTCTGTAATCCCGAAATGGTGTGTAAAACAACGCACACTAATTCATTGCGATTTTAAATTATACGCGGCTAATGATAGCGAGATAAAAACATACGGCATATGTTATTTAACAATAACTTTTGGCCTTAGGAGAGATTTAAAATGGCCGTTCATAGTGTGCGATGTTAAGCAACCAATAATTGGGGCAGATTTTTTAAGAAATTTTAGATTATCTGTAGATTTATATAATAATAGATTAGTCGACCTAGTTACTAATTTGTACGTTTGTGGAACAAAGAGTGTAAATTCGATAGGAGCGGTGAAGTCTATTAGTAGTAGCCAGCCGTACGCAGAATTACTTGAGCAATTCAAGGAAATCACGCGCCCACCTATTTTTAAGGAAGTGCCAGAGCATTCTGTCTATCACCATATTGAGACAACAGGCCCGCCAGTGTATACGCGTGCAAGGAAGCTGCCACCTCACAGGTATGATTTAGTTAAAAAAGAATTCCAGCTGATGCAGGAGTTAGGGATATGCAGACCGTCGAGTAGTCCGTGGGCCAGTCCACTACATGTTGTGCCTAAAAAGAACGGTGACATTCGACCTTGCGGGGACTATAGAATGCTTAATGCGATTACAAAACCGGACCGTTATCCGATACCTAGAGTTCAGGACTTTACTTATGGTTTACATAACAAAAAAGTTTTTTCAAAAATTGATATTTGTCGAGCGTATCATGTTATAAAAATTAGGCCGGAAGATATTGAAAAGACAGCGATTATTACCCCATTCGGACTTTTTGAGTTCCCAAGGATGACGTTTGGACTGCGTAATGCAGCACAAACATTCCAAAGGTTTATAAATAGTACGATATTAGCAGGTATAGAACATTTGAATAGTTTAGATGATAAGAATATAACCGGGGAATCATATGTATTCGGGTACCTTGATGACGTCATCATTGGATCAGATAACGAGCTAATACACCAAAAACATTTGCGACTGTTGTTCGAGCGTTTCAGTAAATATAGTATATCAATTAACTTAGGAAAATGCGTTTTTGGTCAAGCAAAAATAGATTTTTTAGGATACGAGGTCTCAGAAAAAGGTATTAGTCCGTTACACGACAAAGTTCAAGCTATTGAAATGTACCCGAAGCCAGAAACTATTGTTGACCTTCGCAGGTTTCTCGGCATGATAAACTTTTATAGGAATCACATACCGAACGCCGCGAAAGTACAGGGAACGTTAGATAGGTATTTACACGGAGCAAAAAAGAACGATAAGCGTAAGATACAGTGGACAGATGAGGCTAGTAGGGCATTTGATTTGTGTAAGGAGAATTTAAAGAACGCCGCCACTCTATCGCATCCGATTGCAAACGCAGAATTAGCTTTAATGACCGACGCATCCGATTTCAGTATCGGCTCGGTGTTACAACAAAAGGAAAACAATACTTGGAGACCCCTAGGATACTTTTCAAAAAGGCTTACGGAATCCCAAAAGAAGTACTGCACATATGACAAGGAACTTTTGGCGATTTACTCAGGCATCGTTTATTTTAGAGACTTAATAGAAGGTAGGAATTTTACAGTATATACAGATCATAAACCGTTAACATTCGCATTTAGTAAGTTAAGCTCAAATAAAGAATTACCTAGAAGGGCGCGACAGCTGTTATTTATTAGCGAATTTACAAATAACATTCAACACGTAATAGGTAGTGAGAACGCCGTTGCGGACGCATTGTCGAGGATAGAAGAGATAACATGTCCGAATCCGATACAATACGTAGACATCGCCCATGCGCAGGCCGATGACACTGAGTTAGCAAATTTATTGAGTACAAGTACCGGTAGTAGCATACAATTGAAACAAATGAACTTAAATAATTCCGATGATTTGATTTATTGCGAAACGTCTACTAAAAATATTCGGCCATACATTCCGAAAGAGTTTAGAAAGTCTATATTTGATTATTTCCATGGGTTAGCGCATCCAGGGATAAAGGGATCGCGAACACTTATATGTAAAAAAGCATTTTGGCCAAATATGAACAAGGATATAGGGATTTGGGCAAAGACATGTATTCAATGTCAAAAAAGTAAAATAGTGCGACACACGGTGTCTAAGTTAGGTACTTTCGAGGAAGGCGACCGTTTTGCACATTTGCATATCGATTTAATAGGACCACTACCCGTGACGGAACATGGCTATCGGTACTGCGTGACGATGATAGATCGGCGTACACGATGGCCTGAGATTTGTCCAGTTACAGATATGACGGCTGAGACTGTTGCAAAAGCAGTTTATGATAACTGGATCTGTAGGTACGGTTGCCCAATTTTTCTGACGTCAGACCAAGGCAGGCAGTTTGAGAGCGAATTATTCATAGATTTAATGAAAATATTAGGCATTCGTAAAACACGCACTAGTCCCTATCATCCGCAGGCAAATGGTAAAATAGAAAGATGGCATACTAGGTCTTTAAAAGCGGCATTGATGGCGAGGCTAACCAATAACGCAGCTTGGTTCGCAGAATTACCTACGGTGATGCTAGGACTGCGAGCAGCGTGTCAGGCGGACAGCGGTTACATAAGCGCAGCGGAATTCGCGCTAGGTCATTGTTTACGTTTACCTGGTGAATTTTGTAGCGATAGTATTACCAAAATAGAGAATCCACAAGCGTACATAATTAGATTAAGAGATATTTTAAATAGTATTAAACCTAAATCTAGAGATTTTAGTAATAAAAATATGTTTGTACATGCTGATTTAGGTTCCTGTTCACATGTTTTCTTGAGAATAGACGCAGTACGGAAACCTTTAGTACCACCTTATTGCGGACCCTACAAGGTATTGGAAAGGAATACAAAGAATTTTAAGATCGCAATAAATGATAAAATTTCTTATGTTTCAATAGACCGTGTAAAGCCAGCGTACATACTAGATGAGTTTAATAGCAACCAGGTTAGCGGAAACTTAGATCAGCATAAGCAGGTTAATGAACCTTTAAAAACGCGTAGTGGTAGAAGTGTTAAGCAACCCGTCAGGTTTATGTTTTGATTTGTAAGCAACATACTTAGTATTGCAAATTCAGCGATTATTCAGCTAATTGCAAAACTAATTTGTATTTAGATTTAAAAGAAAAATATGGAATTCATTTATACTACGTATATAGTTATAACATTTACACTTTGTCATAGTTTTATTTAAAAGTTGCAGTAGTCAAATTTTAGTTTTTTGTGTTTATATGTATCTACTCATTTTTTTTTTTTTAAGAAGGGGGTGTATGTAGTGGTGTAATTATTGTTTGTATAGAAATTTCGCAATTGTATTTGTAATATTGTCTACGCATCATTATTTCGTAATTCCACTTGCACGTGGATCAATCAGTCGCCCTATAACCGCCATGTAAGTCAGAGGACAATAAAGCTAGTGAATTCTATTACGGTTTTCATTTGGTGTACCTCAAACACTAAACAGGCATGCATAGAATCGCGGATGGTCATCGCAGTCTACGCGAAGCCAGAGGTTAGATAGGTCCCTTCCTTCAAACGTCCCGAGGCGATGAGAACAGATATTCTCTCTGACGTACACGCAAACTCCCGCCCGCGGCACAAATGAATATTCCAATTTGTACCCCGGGTAGGAGAGGTAAGAAGTATCAGCCGGGGAGGATATCTGAGTCTCAGTAATAAGACTAAGAAGAAGGAAGAATAAGGCCGGCTTCGAAGTTTCTAGGTAAAAGTGAACCACGTTTAGGTTAGATTTGAGCCCCCTAACTTTATTAAAGTGCACAGTGAGCGTCTCTGTCACCGCACGAAACGCGAGTACAATAAGGTGGACCTATTGCATCACTTCACGCCGATTTTCTGAGAGACAGTGGTACTGCCCCGGTCATGCCTGCCCATTTGGCAGAAGCCCGAAGGTAACGGCATGGCACTCCCACTAGGAAGAGGTTGACTGATTGCGCTGATGAAATAACCTCTGTCACAGGTTATTTCACCAGTGGGCGATGGTCGTCACGTCCCAATGCCATAAAATTAATAATTGGTTGTTGTTAAAGATATATATATATCTATAAGTATTTTAGAACTGAGCGTCCTTATTTACCATAACACAGCTTTCGGAAGCGATGGGAGATTCTAAACGTGTGCTCGGTAAATAATGAAAGTTTCCGCGAGATACTTATTCTGTCGGAATTAGGTTAGTTGTGAGTTGATTTTAGGTGTGACACATGCTACGGACACCTAGTTAGGCAATGTGTAGAAAATTAAACATAATCAGTAGCGCTCTAATATATATTGCGCGCGGGAAGAACTACCGGCGCTACCAATTTTACACTACACATTGTCGCAATAAAAAATATTTGGTATACATAAACCCATAGTAAATACTACAAGGTCATGGCAAACGCCTGTATAAAATGTCTGTTAAATACGTAAAAGTAAAATATTATGTGTATAATGTATATTGTCTCATAGGCGGTCACGCAATGTATTGTCTATACTCTATAGGTAAACTATAGCAGACTAGACAAATTGTTTGACGTTTGGGCTTGAATTTTGAAATATTAATGTCACAATTATTACCAACTTCAGTCGAATTGCGAAGTAGACAACATAATTATTTTTAATTTCCATCTACTAACTGCATTACAGAAATTATTAATTCAGAAAAAGTGTTAAAACTAGTGGTTGCTTGTACAATTAACATTAAATCAGAACTAAATGATTTAGAAATATATAATGGCAAAAACTAAAGTAACAGGAGCAACGAGTAGGTTGAAACAAGATTATTTAAGGCTGAAAAACGATCCCGTACCATATGTGACTGCAGAACCAGTCCCTTCAAATATATTAGAGTGGCATTATGTCGTAAAAGGGCCCGAGAAGAGCCCCTACGAAGGAGGATATTATCACGGAAAAATCATGTTTCCAAGAGAGTTTCCTTTCAAGCCTCCGTCAATTTATATGATAACACCAAATGGACGATTTAAAACTAATACTAAGCTTTGTTTGAGCATTACAGATTTCCATCCAGACACATGGAATCCAGCTTGGTCAATTTCAACAATTCTGACAGGCCTGCTAAGTTTCATGTTGGAAAAAACACCAACTCTGGGTTCTATTGAAACATCTGATTACCAGAAACGATGTTTGGCTGCTGAATCTTTAGAAATTAATCTTAAAAATGAGATGTTCTGTGAGTTGTTTCCAGCATATGTTGATGAGATTGAAGAGCTGCTTAAACAACGACAGCAAGCCTTGCTCCAAACAGAAAATAATAGCAACAACAGTGAGAGTGTAGTGACAAATGACCAACAATCTAATATGCACTATTTATTAACAAACTTATTTGTGTTAGTGGGCTTTGTGTTTCTAGCATTCATGGTGAAACATGTTTTGGTGTCTGTTTCGAATGACTAAGGTGTAATGATTTATTAGTGTAAATATTAATTTATTATGTACAGCATTTGTGCAATGTGGGTTGGGGTATTGTATTTTTCACTTATAGCAATGTACCTTAGAAAGTTCAGAATTTTAGTACTTTAGATGTTTGTAATTTGTACAGGTAAATGTGTATTAGATTTAAATGCACCTAGTAATATGGTTTAAAATGTGAAGTACTATATCTGCACAGCTAACTAATCAAAAAAGATTTATATTGCCTATTAATGTAATAAATCTGTTATGTAGACACCGCATGTCTTGTTAAAGTTCAGTTACAATTGATTGTTTATTTTTTTCAATTTATGATTTTTTAATGAATTTGAAATTGTTTGTCAAAACTGGTTGAAAAATAACTTTTTATTTTAATTTCCATTCTATGTTGTATAGTGGTGAAATATTAAATAGTATTTTTATATAATCATGCTTTTTATTAAAATAACAATTTTGGGATTGGAAAAAAGACAGTTTAGTTTAAAAACATTTAATATCATTAAACATACACTATAGATTGTGATATTTTTTATAGAATATGATCTTACATGCTGATCAAAATTAATCTACACATTGATATCAAAATCAATAGTTGTAATTAATTACAACTTATTAAACAAACATTTCATTTTGCTTAATAACAGAATTTTTATTTTTACTTATATCCTTACTAGTTACATGTCTCCTAAAACAATTAATGTAAAACATATGCATTATGTACAAATCAGATTTTTTTAACCAAACCTAATTGTATAAAATTCGTTAATTAAATAGGTCGGCAAATTGACTTTACTTTTACAATTGGACCATAATAATGTTTCTAAAACCTATGTTTATTGTGACACTTGTGAAATGAGCATTACAAGTAATACATAATACTATGTAATTGTATAGTGTGTAACAGACAACTGAATTTGAAACTACAATAGGTCAACTAAATTAATGTTACTGTACTAAATGTACTATGCTGAAATAAGTGAGAAATTAATAGTTTTCTTTTTTAATTTCCTCTTCTACATCATCATCCCAATCACTTACCAACTTTCTTATATCATTGTGTTTTTTACCCTCTTGTGGCTCAACTTTCTCTGCGGTCAACTTGTCACTAATGATATCAGTTGTATTTTTTATTACTTCTGTTGGAATCGCAGACACAGAATCAGAAATTGTTTCTTCTTGCGAGTTTTCTTCCCAATCATTAAGTAGTGAGGAAATTTTTTCTTGAGGTATGTTATCTATGTTTTTGTTAGTTTCTGATTCATTACTTTGCAACATACATTCAGGTTTATCTCCATCAACTTTGGCTTGAGTCAACTTATTAGAAGGATCCGTTTCTTCTTCTCCATCATCATCTGACCATTCTAATCTAAGATTATCAATATCTTTTATAATTGGCTTGTTAATATTTTCATAAGGTTTTTCTTCCATAATTTCTACACCAATCATTTTAGGAACTACCCCTATATCTCTTGCTATGTTTTCAATTGTTTCCTCATCTTCAGTTTTAATACATTCATCCTCCAAACTTATTAATACTGGTTGTTTCTGTTCAACAGTATCTATTATTAAATCATCTTTTTGTGTTAAAGTATGTTCAGTTAATGTATTTTCTAGTTCAGAAATCTGTATATCATTTGTATCTGAAGTAGATGTGTAATGTAAAAGGGTTTTTGGTTCAACAGTTACCATTTTAGAAATAGTTATAGTAGCTTTGTGATCAAATTTATCATCTTGTTCCATTATGATATTATTATGATTTTGTTGAAGATCAGATGTATTTAAGGATTGTTGATTTAAATGTGAATTTGCATTGTTGGATTCTGGTGGACATTCAACTATGTCATTAGAACCTTCTTGTGTCTCGGTAGTGTCTTCTATATGTTCACAAGTTACAGATATGTCTAGTTTTGAATTATCACCAGGACTTTCTTCCTTCACACTCAATATGACAATTTCTTGATCATCAATGTTAGTAGAAGGTTCCTGTGGCAATTCTGTTGAAGTTTTTTCTCCTGAAACAACTATTATGTTTGATTCAACATCTTGATGCGGATGTATCAATGCATTAGGTACTGTTACACAGTCACCTTGTTCCTCCTTAGATTCAACTGATTCAGCTTGGTTTATAATGGAGTCAGGTTGATCAAAAATAGGTTCTGGTTTTGGTTCTTCATCTATATTAGCCTGCATGTCTACCATATTAGATTGTTCAGGGATTGGATTTTCCGTAATTGCATGGGATTCTTTAGTTTCAAGATTTTTTTCTGATTGTACAAGATTTTTTTCTAATTGTACAAGATTTTCTTCTGATTGTACAATATTTAATCCTACTTGGGGTGAATTTATAACCATAGATTGACTGAGAGAGCTTAAGGAAGGCAATTTACTAATAGGAATTAATGTTGTATTTTGAAAAATAGCTTTGTCTGTTTTGGTAGATTTTACTATAGTGTCAGTGTCAGTACTTAAACAGTTGTTGTTTGCTGAAATATCAGATTCATCTAAGTTTGGCAACGATTGAGGTAGAGGAACCTCCAGACCTGGTTTCACTATCTCAACTTGAGGGATATTATTAACTGGATCACCATCATGCACTTCTGTAGCTATAATTTGCATTTCTGTAGTAGCAATCGGCAAATCATTTTGCCAAGAATTACCTACAGTAGTGTTATTTACCACTATTTGACCAGCCATTATTGGAGATGTAGTTGTCACAGTTTCAAAATTTTGAGTAAAAATTGCTGATGATTGGATGAATTGATTGTTGAGACCTTGAGAAGATGTTATTAACTGATAATGTTTGTTTTGTTCACTAACTGGGTGGCTGTACACAACAACTATATTGGAGTTGTCTGTAGTATTAGATGCTGAAATGTTTATGGGAAATGTTTCAGGAATAATCATCATTTCATTTGATTGCGGATTACTTAAATTGATACTATCTCCAACGTCTGAATTTGATGTTGCCAAAACTGTCAAAGGTTTATCAGAAACTCTGTCATCAAATATTATAGAGTGATTTGAGGAAAGTAAAGCTTTATATTCCTCTTCATTAGATACCACAATTTGTATGGGCTGATTCATAGTTGGATTAGGTTTTGATAGAGTGAGTTTGGATGTTTCAGTATTATTATGAGGTGTTGTAGAATATTCACAATGTGAAGTCTCAGAAGTTATTATTTCTTCTAACTTAAAACTATCAGATTGATAGTTTTCTGTGAAAAAGAATTCATTATTGTCTAGTACTACAATACTATCTTCTTTTTTTTTAGTTCAGATGAATCTATAAAGTCTGATTTAGACACAACTTCTTGAATTATTTTGACTTTTTGAGGAGTACCAGAAGAGGGTGTTTTACTCAAGCCAGCATTTAATATTTTCTTTTTAGAAATTGGAGTTAAATTAAGTGGTGGCTTTTTAGTAACTATCTCAATATTTCCATCTGATCGTTGCTGCACATTATAGGAAGTTTCATCATATTGATTGTCAAATGATCCAGGAACATTAACTTCTATGTATTTTGTTGGTGTCCCATCCCTATTAGTATCTACATGAATCTGCGATTCCTTTTCATCGTCAGAATCTTCAATAATGCCATCATTTTTGGCAGACTCATAATGATTTGATTTTAAGTGGGCATATAAATTTGAATCTCGTGTAAACATTTTATAGCAATAGATACACTGTGGGCTTGGCTTTTTCTCAGCTGAAAACTTGTGACCAGTTTTCTGAATATGTTTTAATAATAAAGTTGAGTTATGAAATGAAGAAGCACAAATCGCACATCGAAATTTGTGGTTGTCAGAATGAGACATTTTATGCTTCACTAAGAAAGCTTCTGTTAAGGCAACATAGCTGCATATATTACATTTAGGGAAGTGAAAAGCTCGTGGTGGTTCAACTCCATGCTTCGTGTATAAATGGTGGACCAAGTAGTTTCTCTTTGGTGATTTCAAACCACAATATTCACACATATTTGACACTGGTTTTTCATTATGAACTTCTACTAGATGGCGACGATAGTTATAATAACTTGTAAAATGTAATGCTCTGCCAGGAGTGCCACATATCAGACAAATCCAAGGACCCTTCACATTTTCTGCACCCATTGCTATAAGTCGTGCTGCATCTTGAGAGTCAACTACGTCTGTTTCATAAGTAAAATCTGGTACTTCAGTTTTAGCCTTTAACAATTTTGGTTCTTGTTTCTTCTGACTATTGGGGTTGTTCAGTATTTTAAGTTTTATATTCTTATTGCTTTTTACCAAATGAGGATATTTCTTAAGTACCTCACTTATAATTTTTGCGTGATCCAAGTGGCTTTTTTCCTTTTTATTTTTTCTAATGAGATTTTTGAATCTTTAATTAAAATTTGATCAAAAAGTTGACTAGAATCTTTTTTTTCTTGGATATTTTGTTGTAAGAAAAGTTCTGAATCATCAGGACTTGTTTCTCCTACATCTTCAAAAATGTCATTTGGTGTGATTTTTCGACATTCAACAATATCCATTGTTGTTGTTCCGGATAAAAACTTCTTTGAATTAGATGGTTCATCAAAAATTCTAGCTTTTTTAGGAGTGTAATATTTAGTTGTTTCAGGGTGCACCATTAAAGGCTTAGATTCATAAGAAAGACTTGTGAAAGAGTTATCAAAGATATTATCATCATCTAATTCAGCAGGTAATTCATACCGCGTTGGCTTTGGATCCTTATTTGAATTTTTTTTCTGGATGGATTCCACTGGCTTTAAACTTGTTTCCAAGCCATAGGCACCATTACTACACAATAGAGTTTCTGAAGTTCCAATTTTTTTTTTTGCTGATGCTTGTTGATCGTTTGGAAAAGCCTTATTAAAGCTACGCTTTTTGATCTGTGCAGTTGGAGTTGCAGTAGGCGTAGATACTCTTGGTTCAATATTTCGGCTGTACCGTTTACCATACAAATTAGGTTTGACTCTATGAGCATTTAAAAGTTTAGTCAAGACAGGCATGTTCATGATTAAAGATGTTTGGTATAGTTTTTCAAGTAAATCCATTTTAAATTCTAGCTGTCCAGTATACATGAAGTTAACAATAGGGACTACTACATCGGCCTGTAGATCATCTGGCATGACTAAGCAATCAGAATACATTTCGCAAGTTCTTTCTAACATCTCAAAATATTCTGTGCATGAATTAAGGACCAACCTATGTACTTTAAGTTGTGCATTATCTTGAAACTGAAGTGTGAGATCGCAGTAGTCAGTACGGTTAAAGAAGTGCTTTAACCTCTGAAGGAAATATATTCCCCAGTTATCCACTTTCACTTGCTTTACGTCACTCATTTTTGTGGGTTTTGATATACATAACCGCAATTCACATACTGTAATAGAAAAAGGATCGATTAAATATTGAATTTATAGAACTATAACAGTAAACTGTGATCATTTAATACATTTTTACGAGCATAGCATCTTATCGATCGTTCCTGACGCCACGGCCTGAAAATTGGCGAGCGTAGGAAAACATTTTCTCAAATTCCAAACTTATCAAAAGCTTAAATTTTGCGCCATTTCATTAAATTGTTTATTTCCTTGAACTTACCTATAATCTACGATTACCACTACGATTTCAATATTATTTCACATCACCAAACAACAAGATTTCTAGACACCAAATTCGTTCTTACTTGACAATACGATCACAAGATGGCGGTATATAACTGTATCGTATAAAGTAGATGGTGACGTCAATATTGAAAACGTCAAAATATCGCTTGACAATAGTTCAATCATATGTCTTTTTAATTCATAATGATCAAAAACATGATACTATTTTTTTTTAAATTATTTATCTATGTTTTAGAAATTCAAATATTTCATTATTTCTTATTTGTAAGTGTCTCCTTTTATATATTATTGTCAAAATCAGGCACTCAAATGATACTACTCGACTAGTGTCTCCCTCTTTGTTACTGGAATATTGATCAATGTTATTTTCGTTATAAGCAACGCACGTTTAAATAAAAAGATTGTGTGTATTTAAAACGATTTGGATGCAAATTTTTGTTTTCATAATCGGATAATAAATAGCGATAGATGGCACTGTACTAGGACAGAAACAATTTTTAAATAAACTAAGATTATAATTTATTATTAATAAATACCCCAAGACAAATTGGAGAAGGATAAACGTTTTTTACGTAACATGCGTTGGTTAACTAATATTATTTATGCACGTTTAATGTTATTAGTATAGTTAGAGATAGAATAAGGTTGTAATACTATGTTGTTGTTTTACATAAAAACATTTAAATGTATTTTTACCGAAAACATTAATATTGAAATTCCTATTATTATTATGTTTAAATCTGGATTAATAATAAAAATAATACAGTGCCTGCTGGTTAGTACGTAATCAAAACCAATTAAAAAAATTGTGTACCTACTAATAAAATGCTCCATTGAAATATGTAGCCAAGGAATTTGTCCAGAACATATTTAATTATTTCTTAAGAGTTAATTAGCACTACGCAGCATACAATATGTATTAAATTTTTAATTAAATTAACAGCTAAGCCAAAAAGGACCAATTTAATATTTACTGATTCCGGAAGAGCTAAGAAGATTTCATATTTTTGATAAAGGAACTCATTAATAAGTTAGACTTAAGAATTTGGAGTTGGGGGCTTTAGTTTATTTGTTCTAAAACGCTTGGTGGTCTGCGTTGTGGTAGATTTAGCTAATGCCGGTCCCGTGTTCTCGTTGTTGCGTGCTTCTGCTTTGCGGGTCTCTCCACTGCTTTCTTTAATAATCCGCTATTAAGAAAATAATGTTCCACACAAGGAACCCAGCAAAATTGTTTTATCGCCTTTCGAGTTTCAGTTCATAAGGCATTCATAATATGCGTGTTGTATCTATTCTATCGGCATAATAGAGATGAGATTTCATTACGACTTTTGTGTCTCGTTCTTGTTATGGTATTTAGCCCTGAATACTCTGTTACCGCTAATATGATTCACTATCGAATTTATAGAAATAACCAATACGCAAGAAATATAATTATATTATTACCTCACCATACATTTCTGTGTTATAAAGGAAAAGAAAATATGTATTGTTAGAATTGGAGTAATTTTTTTGTTTCCCTACAAATTTCCTTGAAAATTAAAGTTAGACATGATTCCAAACAGTTAAAATGGGTGGCCTAGTTTTTGACTTATCGGAATTCATGGTTTACCTATATTAAAATCTTTGATATCTATATTATAAAAGATTATAATATAGGTATCAAAGGTAAACAGTAAATTATATCGTTAATTTTCCTCAGTTGACAGCTATTTGATGTTGGTTTGTTTGATTTAATTAATTTTCCGACATCTTCTTAGGATTTTCAATATTTGAAGGGTTTGCAATTATTTTTATTAAATAGTCTGTTATTTGCTGATAAAAAAAGTGTAAGTTTCACTTTCAGTGAAATAATTTTACAATCGGTTTAACAGTTAAGTTTATTCATTACGTTCAATCTTTAAAAAAATCAAATCTATCATAATATTAGTGTGTAAAAAGAATCTCCTAGTATTAGTTAAATTGAATCTTTACATCACTACTACTAGATACTAGAGTTTATATAAAAGCTCATTTGATAACTCATACCTTACTCATACCTTGGCTAATGCCCTAAGTAGTTAAAGCCTGTGCTGGACCGTGTAGTGCTGGACTTTCCACAATTAGACGCATATTTGATCCGTCATTCGTTAACTGGACCTTCTATCAGTGTTACGTTCGATACATTTAGGGTAACTAAGTAAATCCAATATATTTTTATATACCAGAAACATATTTGGCTCTAAGAGTCTTTTCGGGCAATTTAGAAATAATACAACTTTTTCAGAACAAGGTTGTTCGGTTCTTCAATGCATCATGGTACATGGTATTAAAAATGAAAGTATCCATAAGGATCTTAATGTGAATACAGTCCTAAATACTGCGAAAAGGTTTGCCTCAGCTCACTTGAACAGGCTACATATAACATAGCCATGTGAATACTGTTACTGAGGCAATCAAAATTCTTGACACAACAGGAATAAGACGCCTAAAGAAAACTAAACCTTTTGAGTTAATAAACCTAATGTAGTGAACAAATCTTGGACACACGAACATAGAGTCAAAACATTATAAAACACTAAGACTGTTACTGAACATAACCTTAGTTTAAGCTATTCATAAGTATTGTAGAAAACCAATTCAACATAATATTACTTATTAGCCATAATTATTGTATAAGTTAGATTGTAATACATGTTAAGTCGCATTCTTTTTTATGAACTTTGTTGTAGGAAAAAAGGACTCTGATATTACTCTTAGGGCTAAGTCCAATTCCCATAATGCTACAGAAGGAGAGCAGCGCAATATTAAAATCGTTTAACCTTGTATGTAGTCACTTTGTCGACGCCATAGCTGAAGCCTCGATAGAAAGCGAAAGTGATCCAGAGGTCCTTTGATGCGGTAGTGAAGTAGGTACTATCTTAGATGGTTTTAGGGGGAAACCTGACTGGGTTCTTTGAGTGCCACTTTGCTGTTGCCTATGCCGAAAGTGATTCCATAATTAATTGTTTGCCTTGAATGATAATCTTTTAAAGATTTTGTTACTGAAATAGTGGATTTACGGCGATGTTGCTGTTGTGTTAACTTCAAGTTTGTAATACAATTTTCAATCGGTAATTATTTCTATAGTGTTGAGTTATTATAACCATTTCATGTATCGAGTAAAGAAAGTATTGTCTAAGTACTAAGAGTACTTACAGTTAGGAAGTGAATCATTGTATATACATATTTGTATACATAAAACAGCTGTATAGTATAGTAGTGTTGGCCTAATAGCTTAAGCCTGTGATTCCCTGAGGTCATCCCCGACACCAATAGACTTTCTATCTATGTGCGCATCTAACACTCGCTTGTGCGGTACATGAAAGCATCGTGAGGAAACTGGCATGGCGTAGACCTAAAAACGATGGCGTGTATCAAGGACGAAGACTACTTGCCTATTAGGAAAAAATTAAATGATAATAAAGTAGAAATATGATGGTTAGAAAGTAGAAATATATTATTATATAGACTGTATGCATACACAGTAAAATAATCGTAAAGTGGTAGCGGTACTAGGTCACTAAAGATAAGACAATGGACAAAAAAAGTCTGCAAGTTAATGCCGCTTACTATGAGTTGTATGTCGATATCTTAACCAGGATAACTGGGGCAACTTGCCGGCATGCCATTAATCTCGGATGTCCACTCTGCTTCTTGACAATCTTGACTAGTTGTGAAAAGAAGTATGCAGCAGGATATGATTGGATCAGATTTAGTAACCACGCCCAGATAAAACGCCGCCCACAGCGTTGGGCGGGCGGTAAAGTTGGAATCACAGTCAGTGTGCACGCAGCTTTAGAGGTGGTAACAGTGCGTGTGTAAAGTTGCAGTGCCGGGGCTCGTAAGGTAATATTTTTTTTAAATAAAAGAGTGTAAGTTCTAAGTTTCAATAAAAAATAGACTAACATAAAAGTAAAATCATTCATGAAAATTACATTACATTCAATTTTAAAGGAACTTTTGTAGCTTTATATATTATATATCTGTGTTTTTAATAGAATAACTAAACTCAACTAATTTCAAACAGGTTTAGTTAAAGTAACTTGTTAATAATATATCTATTTATTAATTATATTGAAAACTATTATGTAAGGGGAAGCCTTTCAAATTTTGTTAGGGAAAATAAATACACATTTTAGATTTAGAAATAGAAACAATATGAATTTGAGTAACATAAATCAACTTGTGAGTGTAATGAGCAGTGTTGGCCTAGTGGCTTCAGCGTTCGACTCTCATACCTGAGGCCGTAGGTTCGATCCCCGGCTGTGCACCAATGGACTTTCTTTCTATGTGCGCATTTAACATTAGCTCGAATCGTGAAGAAAAACATCGTGAGGAAACCGTCTTAGACCCAAGAAGTCGACGGCGTGTGTCAGGCACTGGAGGCTGATCATCTACTTGCCTATTAGATTTAAAAATGATCATGAAACAGATTCAGAAATCTGAGGCCAAGACCTAAAGAGATTGTAGCGCCACTGATTTATTTTTCTTTTTAAATCAAATTGTCTATGTGAACATGTAATTTAAATTGAAAAGTATGTAATGAGATCGTACATTTTTTTTAATGATATTTATGTTTCTCAATAATGTAGTTCGTAAGCCCGCCACTCCACAATGAGGTATGGCGTAGATACATATGTGCTCCTAATTCTTTTAATTATTAAGTGGTCACAGATTTGTGCGTACTAACCTGTAACAATTATTGATTCACCGGAATCGTATTCAAAGCCGAGTTTTATGTTAGCGCGTTAAAAACTAAGCCAATAAGCAGTTATTTCATCATCTTACTAACCATGGGCACTGCCAAGTAAAGAAATGTCATTTACTGTATTTTGTATGTATTTTAATCTGTTATAGACAAAAGTACCAATGTTATATTTTACTCTATTATACCTATGCAATGGGGTGAATTTTTGCTCTGTGAACACTAATGGACGACCGAGTTTGCCGCGAAAGAACTGTGAAAAAGGGAGGGAAATGCACAATTAAATTATTAAGTGACAGCTGCCGCGGGCATTTTGCTTGCGGTTTCGTTCGAAATTTAAAGTTTAATATGTCACACATTTTATTTTCTATAACGTGTGAAGCCAAATTTTGTGAATAGTTATCATTGATTATAGGTTTTATTTATAATTACAATTATCCTGTAAACTTGTTAAACTTGTTACCGTTTATGCATTAACTCCATAATATTAGTCGTTGTATGTTTTAGCCTTTTAAGGGTCGATTCGACCAAACTTCAATTTATACACGAGTAACTATACCAGGAATAATCTATTCCATGATTTTAATCTCGAGTAAATTCATAGTCGTTTCTCCACGTAATCCATAGTTTAATTGATCTAGGAATAACAATACGCGAATAGCAAAGAGAATGGTGAACGAAAATAAAACACGGCAAATAAATTTTGTTCTACAACGGGACAGTGTAAGACATCATGTCAACTCGATTTTGCCGTATTATAGTGTGAAAAGTAGCTGTTAGGCAGGTGTCAAACGACAACAAAAAGTTTTTATTTGTTGTTTGTTTGAGGTTGTCGTCTAAAAAGGAACTTCTGTTGAGCCTAGTTGAATTTCATTCTAATATTATAGAAATTGAAAAAACTAAAAATAAATAAATAAATAATAAATTGTTTAAACGTTTCATTATACAATGCCAGACTATTAATTTAGTGCGTTGCGTTGACTTGAAATGAAAACACAGAATACATATTTGTGAAATGACAGAAATCAGCTGATTGGACTGACTGACGCCAATAAATTATTCTAGGAATAGCTGTTATTCCGTGCGAAACGGCGGTATAGTAACAATTCCCGAATAGGCCCTTTATTCTTAGAATTTGTAGATGGTAAAACGTAAAATTGATTTACTCTCGATTAACTGACGATTTATTCTAAGATTAAGATTTACTCGTTTGGTCGAATCGACCCTAAGTCTTACGATAATTTAAAACCCGAGGAATTTTTTTGAATGGGAATCATTAACTTAAGTGGAAGACAATAAAAAATATCCATTTTAAACCTACTTTCTACTACATACCTCTTCAAATATAATAGGCATTTTCTAACATAATAATACACGAGTTTTGATTAGAAAAAAAAAGAAAGATGATCCGAAATGCAAATTTGACGCTGGGAGTAAAATGCTAATTTCCGTGGGAGAGACTCGTCAAACTTTTTAATCTCATGTGACGTCCCCACCCTCCCCGCACCACTTGTCAGGGGGATGATTGAAAGCAGCTCATTTGTATTTTTATTACTTTTTAATTTTCTTCCAATTTCCCCGAGTGGCCATGTTTGCAGTTGTCATTTTTCAGAGTTCGTTTTGATGAGCTTTTCATTCGTCCAGTTTGTTTTGCTATTTGATTTATATGGATAATATTAACTAAGATGTTTTATTTGTTTGTCTTCAATTATTAACGTATATATTTAATAAATTCTTTTCAAAAATGTCATTCATTATATTACATAACATTACCATATAACTAGGATAGGTTTTTCTTATAAGACGATGGCTAGGGGCGCCTCATACATCAGTGGCAAAACATTACAAAAATATTCTTGTTTCTATTTTCTCCGCAATCAAACTCCTTTATAATTTATTAAATCATTTAGGTACGTAGCAATTTATGTGATGCACGTCGTTATTACAAATTAAATTTTTTAAACTATTTTTTTTTTATAAATGATAGATTGAGGACTGGAATCATTTCGATATCACCCTATCTGTGTCATACAGAGTATCTTCAATGAAATGTAACTTTATACATCGTACAGATGTTAGACACGCGTCACTCACAGGGACAGAGATATGTTCAACAAATTATTACGAAATATGCTAAGATGATAAGATCAAAGAGATTTTAATATGATCGGTGGATAAAAGGAAAAGAGACACAAAATCGAATACAAATTATTTCCTAGTGGAAATAATTCCTTCATTGTAAATTACAACAGTAAAATTTTACAATGTAATGTAAAAATCGCGAGTTCTAGTATTACGCTTCTGACAGATGGGATTAATGTTTTAGTATTACTAAAATATGAATCCCATCTTTGTATTCAATTAAAATGTTTCTTTGTATTCAAATTTCCTTAGCGAAGATAATTATTAGTAAAAACTCTACCGAAACAAACAACACGGCAACACAGATAAATAGCACACCAATGAAATCTATTTATTTAGATGTCTTGACATTTTTAATATTGCCCTACACCGCGACTAATCGCGGCCATTTCTGAATACGCCGTGACAGTGACATTTGATTGCCCCTCGCAGTGCCGTTTGTTAATATGTGAAATTAGGGCCCTAAAAGACATTTCCACAGACCACAGGCGTCAACTTAGGAGTAACAATATGTACATATATTGCATTTAAATGTGTTTAAGTATACATTACGGTATTACGCGATATTTAATAAGCAAGTTGTCTACGATGTAAATATATCTGGTATTTAGAATATATGCAATTAACAGAAAAACCTTGACTTTTTATCCGATCGAGTCGGCAATTTTGGCAGTTCAAAGATGTGAAAATTACTTTTGACTTTTTCATATCGCATTATAAATTTGTAATTATATCGCAGTATAAATGTTTACACTTTCGTGCCTATTATTGTTATCTTTTTATTTTTAGTTGAATTATTTATATTTAAAAAAAAATCTTATCTGTGACACAATTAAAGGATACTTATAAAATCATAACCTATACACTCGTATATTTTTTTACATATCTTGCATTTGTGATGTGTCTATCATTTTTCATATTGCATCAGGTGCATTCATACTCTCGTCACCTATAAGTTTTTTGCCAAATACATATAGCCATTAGTATCACGCTAGTATAATTTAGAACTGAATCAATGATCATCAGCCCCTTTACAAATACGAGGTTACGTAATATAATTATGTCGTGAGGGTGTAACCCCCGATTTTTAGCGGTTTTGTTCTCTACCACTAATTTCATTTGATAAATACGTGTCGGCTGTCTACGCAACTTATGATTACATGCTTCGTTGACGTGTCAAATTTCTAAAAATGTTGCAATTCAAGTAATTATTGCCGTACGGGCAGACCTAATATTTTTTTGCTTAACGGTTATAACAAAATATATACATTATGAAGAAAAAGTCAAAGATCCACTAATTTGCGACCAGCCCTCACCTCCGTCTAAGGTAGAGTTATTATACATTGTACGCAGAATGTATAATAACTCTACCTTATATAGATAATATAAACCTTCCTCTGTTATAAATCACTTTGTCTATTATAAAAATGTATATGTGCAGTTAAATATTTTCTTTGAAATTATTACTTCTCTAGATAATTAAGCCTCCGGATTTAATTTCAACGTATTCCTGAGTTAAGCTACGCTTATATTGGTATATATTAACGGCATTGAAATTCTATAGCGTAATTTGCAAGCGCTGTAACTTTTAAACATCTAATAACAATTAATTCTTTCAAAATTAAACTTCGCCACAAAGCCCCACAAACGACAAATTAACAAGGCTCTCTTTTAAAAACAATTAGACATTGAAACAGATACGAACAAGTTGGGCATTAATTAGTATCGGAACAGCGGGGAGTTTAATCCATTCCAATATTCTCGACCACCCGTTGTCTTTCAAACAAATAAAGGAAGATTATAGCAAGAAGGATTTATTTACAGGAAATATAACATAATTTTATACTCCTTCAATTAGGTATAATAGAAAATACTAGTATGTTTCATTTATTTTTATAATAATTTAAAATAACATATTATGTAATTACGAGGGCGATTTAAAAAATATAATTAAACAATACGACAAAATAACCCC